AACTTCTAGATCAGCTGCAGTGGAACACTTTGTCGGTTAACCGTCAAAAGCAAAAAGCTGTTGTTATGTTTAAAACTCTTAATGGTCAATCTCCCCAGAATTGTTTTCATCCAGAAATTGTCTATATTTACTAAGAAATTCTAATGGCAAGTTGTTTATTCCTAAGCCCAATACTGATTATCTTAAGCGCTCCTTCAGTTATAGTGGAGCATCACTATGGAACTGCTTGCCTGAATCTCTTAGATTATCATCATCCCTCTCCTCGTTTAAAGGAAGTCTGGAATCTCTATATTCTCCCAGCCTTACCGACTCCCACACGGCAACCAGGTAGAACAGTACCTCTCCTCTTTTCCTTCTTCCCTTCAATCTTGTCTTTTTCCTAACTTATATTAATTGCTTTGATTTGTAAATAGCTAATTTTCATAAATATGTACTGATGGTTCTCCGTGTTCTAAATAAAGTCATGTGTATGTATATATGTATGTATGTATGTATTCCAGCCATCTGATTGGCTATCTCAATTGGTTTTTTTGATCGATCATACCGTTCAGGCTTTATCAGTGCACGGAAAGGTCTATGACGTTTCTGGCCATTTCTGAACGCTACTTTGTGCTCGACCGCAGAATATTAAAGTTCAATGGGAAGATTTTCTATCAGAAATTCTGAACTAATACTAGCCATGCCCATGTCTGTTAGTATTTACGAAGCTGCCCATGTCTGTTAGTATTTACGAAGCCGTAAAGGCTGCTTTAGAGAATGACGATCGACAAAATGTCAAAGATATTGAAGCTGATTTAAACAAGCGAGTAATGGTGTACCAAAGCTTTCTATAATTCTATTCAAGATTTATTGAGCGTTGTGAATAACATAAGCAGCCTTCCTCGCACGAAATTTTGGTGCGGAATCTTACATCCTGAAGTACGTTCGAAAGAAGACAAAAAACCTTATATATATATAGCTTAAGATTTTGGTTTACGAAACACAAACTGTGCTCAATACCATATAGATAGAGCGTAATATAGTTTTTGGTTTTACCTCAAAAAACCACAACAGTCTGTTTCATCCGTATAGGAATCATCCTATTCCTATACGGATGAGACAGACTGTTGTGGTTTTTTGAGGTAAAACGAAAAACTATATATATATATATATATATATATATATATATATATATATATATATATATATATATATATATATATATATATATATATATATATATATATATAT